ATAAATTACATAATTCTTGGAAGAAAATTCTATAATTTCAATACAAATTTAATTTGTTATTGTAGAGTAAAAATAATGTTTATTTTGACTGACAAATCTTTAAAAATAGAATAACCTAATATTCGAAAAATTAAATTTTTTTTTTTTTTTGACTTGATTGATTTCATTAAACATGTCTTAAGTTTGGATTTTCCTCTGCATTTATTCTCCCCAACTATCAGCCAACTGCAACCAAACCTCGCTTAACATAGACCTAACTGTTGCTCAACAGGTTAACGAAATTGTGCATTATAATACACTGCACTGCACTGTTATCAAGTCATTTTGCCTTATACAGCCGTTTGGTTTATCTAATTTTCAAAATGGGGTAAACAGTGCCTGGCATTTATAATTGCATATTCAAAGTGTCTAGCAGCGCCCACTGAGAGGGTGATCAACATGTTTATTATTACATTTGCCACACTATGTTTTTATCATTACGCTTTTTCATGCCACAGCAACGAAAACAGAAACAACAACAGCAACAACAACAACAACAACAGCAACAGCAACAACGACAACTCGCTGACGGCACTCGCGTCCATTTCCTAGCGTTTATTTTGTGGCCAGGCATTACTTTTTATTAGCACCGACCACCGATTTGTGTGTGGTTGTTGTGATACCCTGTAGTCTAAGTAGCCGTCATGGGTATATAGTTTTCAATGAATTATAAGGATTAGGATTAAGCTTAATTAGCTCTAAGATATTCAACCAGAAAATCCAAATTAATATTAAAATTAAAATAAAAGTCTATAAAAATATATTTAAACTATAAACAACTCAAAATTGCAATATAACATCTTTTAAGAAGTTAATCCATTTCATAATTTATTTTTTCATTTTCTTTTTTTTTTTTTTTAATGTACTAAATTTTATTGTTTAATTTTTTTAAGTAACTAAAAATTGATTTGAAAGTAATACGAAATATATAGAAGGACAAAATAATTAACGTAAATATTTATAGAACATCATCTAACCAATAAATTACAGGGTAACTGCTCGTCTTGTTTTTGGCAACTATCAACTTTAAATAAGGCCTGCGGCTGGCATGTCTTTGGCTGTGTTGGCGCTATATATATACACAATTATATGTTTGCATGTATGTATATCTAAAGATTAGGTTTCAATTTGCATTTCGGTTTCATTGAAGCTGCAAAGCTGCTGCAATTTCCAGGCAAACTAAGTGGGCCATAGATTTATCACGTTTTCCTTAGTCGGTTTGTAGGACATGTGCTCCTAACCGATATTTGAGACAAAAGCGCACATGCAAAACGTGTTGTGAAACCAAAGCGAAATGAAAAGTGTTCAGAGATCGTTCAGACATTTAGCTTAAGCCGGACTCTGGCTCCGTGTTATTACCATATTGAGGCTAACTCTCTTGGTGGTTAGTTGTGGATATATCAGTTAGTGGTAGCTTTTGTTTATGTAACTGTAACTCTAACTGTAGCATTTGCAGTTTATGGATTATGCAATAAATAATCAACATACAATAGCCAGTGCCTGCCTGCCTGCCTATTGCTGCTGCTGCTGTTGTTGTTTTGTAATCTTTCGCCTCAATAGAATGGCCAGCAATAAAATCTGGCTAATGGCTTTTTGAGTTAACTCTTTGCGGGCTCACATCAAAATGTTGGCCTATAAAAGATCAAGCTATTTGTATTTGAGCTCTCAGCTAGATTCAAGTAACGACCCAAATCAGATTATTCGGCTAAATGTAAAGGATAAGGCTAAGTAGAGCTACCGATTAATTTGTACAAAGGATGAATGGGGAAATTATAGAAAATTATAAAACTATAAAGAAAATTATAAAACAGGAATATATGTTTAAAAATTCACGTGGATCGAAATTATAAAAATGAAAATAAACTTAAACAAAAATTCGTGAAAAAATGTGAATTAAATACATAAATATAAAAATAAAAACTTGCGAACAATGTATTTAAAAAAAAATAATCGCACAAATAATTAAATAATAAAATATAAAGAATA